CAATTATACCATGTGCATAGCCTCTTTAGTGAATTGAACTAGCATATTTTAATACAATTTTAGCGGACAGTTTTCATAAAAAAGACCAAGTGGGGAAATCACAGCTCTTACAAAGGCCTGAGAAAGGTCCAATTTTAGCCTTCATTCAAGGAACTCAGTGGCATTTTCTCATTCAGTTAGCAATTACTTTGCTTAGATTAGATTTTTAAAAATAAAGTTATTGAAGGGTCTATAAAGTTAATACCTGCACCTTTGTGTAGCCATGCGCATTGGAAACGCCTGTTCAGAACACAGTTTAATAGTGTGTGCATCTTCTGGAATAAAGTAGAGTATGAATAAATCAGTTACTCTTCTTGATATCAAAAGAAGTAATCCTCAATCAGAAAAGCAATTTGTAACAGCAGTGTTGATGAAGGCAGAAGGTTAATGTTAAGCAGTAGGGGACTGTTAACTCTTTCTCCCTGAAATTCTCTCAGTTTAGGATATCAGTTACATATGTTGTCCCTGTACTGTCTTGATTTTACCTTTTCAAATACAGTTGTCCCCACTTATGCACAGTTTCGGTCGATCGTGATCTGGAAATATTAAATGGAAATTCCCAGAAATAAGCAATTCATAAGATTTAAATTGCACACTGTTCTGAGTAGTGTGATACTCTCGTGTTGGCCTGCGCTGTCCCACCAGGCACATGAATCAAGTGCGGCTAAACCAAGCCTGGCTCCCCGGCTCTCCTCGGACAGCTGAAGCGGAATGGAAAGCACTCAGTGCTTGGTTAACACAGTGGCGCAGGCACCTTAAGAAACCAGCAGGCTTTCTTGCCTGAGATTATATTTGAAAAAGAGGTGGCTTACACCTTCCACAGTGTGCAGGGAGGTGTCTACTGTAAGTTTCACTGAGGAAACCAGGACAAGAGGGTTAAAACAATCCCTTGAGTCTGAAAGGGAGTCCGTAGTGAGACACCGCATTGTGCTCTGAGTGCACAGTGGTGGGAGTGGTGGGCACCAGAGTGAAGCTCATTCTGGAGCGAGCCACCAGGGTCAGGTTCGAGCTTTGCCAACTAAATTCTGTGTCTGCTAGGAGATGCAGTGTAGCCTGCCATCGTGTGATACAGTCCAGTGAACACACCGTAGTTTGTAATCTATACGTCGCAGTGGCCTCTAGTGATGTCATTGGGCATACCCCTTGGCACCGCCTGGTGAAAGCTGTGCTGCTCTGGTTTCCATTCTCCGCTCAGAGGGTCTCTGCTGACGTCACTACATCTTAATTTCCTGATCCTGCAAAAGGCGCACATGCGTTGCACACCCCTGGTGGGCACACGTGTCTTCCATCATTTTGTCTTCGCCTTTCTCCCTTGTTGGACACTGCGTCCCGCTAATGAGCGCAGGAACTTGGTGATCCAAAAGAAGCCGAGGAGAACACGAGTTCGGGCGCCTCTTCTCTACGCGGTTCTGTGAGGCATGATGTCCCATCATCACTTATTCCACCTTTAGTTCTTAATTTGCTGGCATTTTCAAACAGGTACTGCTTTTTTCTCACTGTGGAAGGTGACCTTAGGATGGCTATTACTTTTCTTCTGACTTATATAAAGTATAATGTATATACTTTTACTGGTAATCACTCTATTATGTAGAGAGATTTCAATTTGAATTACATGATTAGCTTTAATTTTTGGTATTACTAGTTTACAATGAGCAAGTAAAAGGAGTTTTATTGTAATAGGTTTCCAGTTCTTCCCTTCCAGTAATAGTGCTCACTTCTTTTTATCTTTAACAATTAATTGCTGCACTTTAAAAGAAATCATGGTGCTTTTTTTCCTTCCATCTGTACAAGTTCATAGGAATCAAGGAACAGTAACTTAACACGCATGCAAGGTCTTCTCCGTTTTCTGTTAAGTGGGCTTTTGCAAAGGTGGCCGCAGCACATTAAACATCTTAGGATGTTTATACTCATCTTTTCCTTTAATCTCTTTGTGTTTTGTTTACTCCAAATTATAGACCAGTTCTCTTTACTAAAAAGTACAGCACCCTATTTTCTGCTGTAGTGCCTGGGGCAGCAAGTGTGTATCATTTACAATTGCTATAGTAAGGGAGGCGGTCCTACCAGTACCACTCCTGTCAGAACAGTGCACAATCGGATGCTTTTAAATATTGACCCTGAGCATTAGATAATGTGTAGAGACTATGAACACCGGAGTTCCCTTCTTACCTCCACTGTCAGGGTGGACTTAGTAGGTGGACTTCATCTACTTCTTTATTTTGCCGTGATAAAGTTTATCCTGTAATATTTCCACGCTTGAGATTAGGGAACAAAATTAAAGATTTCTCATACCAATCATTTAAAATAGAAAGCTCCAGCAAATCACCTGGCATTTGGGAGTGAGCGGGGCGATGGGCGATGGTGAGTGAGTAGTAGTCTCTATTCTCCAGCGGCTTCCTTGTTGATGATGATGCACAACACACGATAATTCAGGGCAGGAGCCATGTAATGGGGGGACGGCTTTGAGAAGGTAGCATTTGTGTGGCAGTTTGCCAGGGTCAGTAGGGTTTGGGCAGTAGTGGATAGAGTGCAGAGGAACATTCAAGATGGAGGCACATGCATACAGATGAGTAGAGTAGTGATTTGTTTTGATTTATAACAAGATGTATTTTTTAAAATAGTAAGATTAGTGAGTTTAACTTGAGAACATAGTTTGGGGCCAGATCATAGGTAGCTTAAATGGTTTATACTTGTAGATAGTAAGAAACCCTGAAAGGTTTTGAGACATAAAATTGTTAAGCATTAAGATGAAAGTTGCATTTGGGGCAATTAATCTGGCCATTGTGTATAGATTGATGGTGAACAGACATCATTAACATAATTTTGTAGTGGTTTTGATAAGACCTCAGTAATGACTAGAACAAGGGTGATATCAGTGACAGGGAGGCCTGGGGTGAATCCAAGGTAAATAGGATGGCTACCATTTTGGTAATCAGATGGTCCTGGGTTATACCTGACATTAATAGTACCCTGCTGGCTTTCACATGTTTAATGGTTTGGACATCAAATGATAACTCTAAAGGTAGATTTGCTTTAGAGTTGATAGTACTTGCTAACTGCTAAATGTAGGGGAGAGGGGGATGTTGGCCATGTATATATACAACATATATACACATATATACACACACACATATATAATTTTTAGAAATTTTTAGAAGTTCTTATGATTATTAAATTTTTCTTTTTGAGACTTAAACAGACAATTCTCTTATCTGAATGCCACAATCAAGTCTTACATGTTTAACACTAGATTGCCCAAGGAAGTCATTTTGACTGCTTGGGGAAATATTTTTAAAAGTGCACAGAAGAAGAAGGCCACCGAATTTTGAGGAACGATTGGACAACAACATTATCGGAAATACGTGCATTTATTGGGATTTTATATGCGCGTGTAGCCTACGAGGCAAAAAATTTAAAACTCAGTTATTTATGGTCAGCAAAGTAGGGTCCTGAATTTTTTAGAAAAACTATGGCCCGAGAAAAGTTCAAGCAAATCCTACGATTTAGTCTTTTTGACAAAAGAACCAAAAGAAGTAGGCACCTACAAACAAATAAGTTTGCCTTGGTTTCAGAAATATGGGACAAGTTCATTGAAAATAGTCAAGCTTGCTATCAACCAGGGCAAAATATAACAGTTGACGAGCAATTATTTCCGTCAAAAGCCAGGTGCAGGTTTACACAGTGTATGCCTAATAAACCCAACAAATTTGGCATCAAATTCTGGCTTGCATCAGATGTTAGTAGCAAATATGTTTTGAATGGTTTTCCTTATTTGGGGAAAGATGAACAACAACCATCGTCAATGCTTCTCAGTGAACACGTTGTTCTGAAACTTGTCGAGCCATATACAGGCTGTGGAAGAAATGTCACGACTGATAACTTTTTCACTAGCATGTCACTCGCGACAAAATAATCAAATGACTCTTATTATTGAATTGAGTAAATTTCTTATATGACCAGTTCGGCTCTGTATTAAAATAACAGTTTTCATATTTTTTCGATTACCGTCACATGATAGCATACAGGTACATGATAAATTGTCGATATTTGATAAGTTGCAGTTGCTCAATAAGGTAAACTAGTACTTGTTATTCGAATCTTTATGCAGTGATACTTGTTCTAATAAGTTGTTTATTTCTTTTGCGCCCTAAATTCATGAAAGAAATGTCGAATAACTTGTTATATAACTGTAAATAATATAAAAAATATTAAAAATTAATTTTAAACGAATTTCTTTACACATTAGTTATTCTTTCACAATACAGTCATTTTGACTGCTTTGGGGCAATATAGGTATATACTAAATTTCAGTATTTCTAGTGTTAAAATCCCTATTTTCGTTTTGTTTTGTCTTTTTGTTGTTGTTAATCCTCACCCAAGGATATTTTTTCCATTGATTTTTAGAGAGAGTGGAAAGGAGGGAGGGGAGAGAGAGAAACAGAAGCATCATTGTGAGATGCTTCAACCTGGGCTAGCGATCAAACTTGCAACCCAGGTACATGCCCTTCACTGGGAATTGAGCACTCAACCCTTTGGTGTGTGGGCTGATGCTGTAACCACTGAGCACACTAATCAGGGCTGTTTCTGGTCTTAATGAATACATTTGAGCTTTGAAATCTTTAACAAAATAATAGATGTGTAAGAGAACAAACTATATTTAATCTCACCTAACATTTTCCTTTATTCCATTTAAAAGCAAAGCCTTTTAGGAGAACTTTAATAAATCAGTGCAACTTATATTTTAAAATTCCAAGTAGAAATGCAGCCAGTGTCAGCTGAGTGTCCCATGTATCCACGTGCCCTCCGTGAGAGAGCAGTCTTCAGTGTCAGCACCAGTGGTTCCCAGATCTTCCTAATTGAAGCAGGGGGCTAGAGTCACGATCTCTCTTTTAAGGCTGGAGCGTGGATGTGGCTCTGATGTATGTGGACCACCTTAAGTGCTCTTGCTCTGTTTCCATATATAGGCAGAGGGAGAAGACAGCCTGAAGAAGATGCAGCTGATGGAGCTTGCGATTCTGAATGGCACCTACAGAGATGCCAACATTAAATCACGTAAGAACACGACTGGGGCCAGGCCGACAGCATCTCAGCTGTTTGTCCACAAAGCTTTCTTCTTTGGTGGCGTAACACGAACAGTTCAAACCAAGTGAGGAGTTGAAATGACTGTAACTGGATATGGGCCCCACAGCCCCTTTACTGCTTAATGAATTGTGGACACTCTCCTTGGGTTTATTTTATTCCAGCATATCTTTTAAGTTCTAAAAGGTTTATGAACTTTATTCTTTTGATGAAATTTCAACTTCTAAATATAAGAGTTTAATGAAATTTCCTGTGTTAGCTACAGATTTAAGGCTTCTAGCTTATTTTGTTACATTTATGAAAAGGACAAAAAATGCAAAGCTTTTTGAGAGTCAGTTGGGAGTGTGTGCACGCAGCGACCCTCCTATCGCACTCTGCCCCTCCGGCACATCCCCTCAGTGGCTTAGGCAATGCTTTGCGTTCACGGAGGGCAGTAGTGATAACTGTTTTAGCCCCATTCCCCGCTTTCGTTGTATTTGCGCATGCTCTCATAAATGTGTTGAGGATTGCTTTTTTATATTTAAAATGAAATCCTGTAAAATTTTTATTTTTGAGAAAATCTAAGGGTAAATTACTAACATTACTAATTTTTTTAAATGTAGACAACCTGTTGGGTTTAGAAGTATTTGCTTTACCAATAGTTGGCTTCCATTTACTTACAAGAATGGACCTGTTAGGAATGGAACGTTTACTGTGCAAGGTGAGCACAAGTAGGTTTATAATAGTATACATGAAATAGCTTATTCTTGTACTATTACTTATTATTGTATTATTTCCCATACGAACAACTATAAACCTACTTGTGCCCCACCCTGTGTTGTTTTTCTCTGAGAAATTAATTCCTACACATGCAGGAACTTTTAAAGTCGTGGTTAGTTGGCTTACTTAATACAATAAAAATGATTCTTTAATTTGAAACTGAAGCTACTCTATTAGAAATTATAGCAAAACTGTTTCTGGGGACTCCAATTACAAAATATTTTTTTAATGCAACTTTTGTGCTTCTGCATGCACCTTTTTAGCCTCATGAGGTCTTAAAAACATAGACATATCACATACATGCACTAAATATAACCTATTTTAATGGTTTCTCTCTTTTTTTTAACAGTGGCTTTTAGTTTTTGCACATTTATTCTTAATCACATTGGGAAAGGGAAAGCCGTTTGCAGTTGATTGGTGTGCTTGGGCGTTGTGTGTGACCAGCGCATGTACTAATGATTTCCTTTTATTTTTCTTCTTTCCTGCTTTTTTCTTTCTTTTTCCTACTTCCCTCTCATTTCCTGTATTTACACCGCTTTCTCTGTACTTCCTTCTAAATTTCTTTGCTTACTGTAGCAGCCCTTGCCTTTTCTCTTGCAGCAACAGCCCAGGCTGCTCCAAGGATTATTACTGGGCCTGCGCCTGTTCTCCCACCAGCTGCCCTGCGCACCCCGACGCCAGCTGGCCCTACCATAATGCCTTTGATCAGACAAATACAGACCGCGGTCATGCCAAATGGAACTCCTCACCCCACTGCTGCAATAGTTCCTCCGGGGCCTGAAGCTGGTTTAATCTACACACCCTACGAGTACCCCTACACGTTGGCACCAGCTACGTCAATCCTTGAGTACCCTATTGAACCTAGCGGCGTATTAGGTAAGTCGTTTTCTCTGTGTGGTTAACATGTTTCTTCAAAACGTTTTCTGCCCCAGACTCTGAAATTATCATATCAGTTTTAGAGAGACAAGTTTCCATTAGGAAAGACTGAAGACTAAATTTTGTTTTATTTCAGCTCCCCATGAGGGTTCTCCTTTTAAATAATTGCATCTTAGATTTGTTCAGATTTGCTTTGGTATCTCAGATTCGCTCTGGATGGGTAAATTTGAACATTTCAAATAGGAAATACTTTTCACATTTGACATCACTGACCCTAGCCACTGGCATATTCTCTCCTTCAGTTTTGCCACAAAGTCAGATTCTTTTCGTCTCAGAGATTTCTTTGTTAGCTAAATTTTAATTACCCATGTGAAAATATTTTGAGATTTTAAAAGCTGCTATAATTGTATGTATTTTCTAATATTTGTGATAACTTAAAATATGAAAGGGTCCCAGTGAATAGCTACATTCAGGTTTTTGTAGTTCTTCTCTTTTGAAGTCCAGGTTAATGTTAAACATAAGAGAACTCCTCATTTCATAGCACGGTTGGAATTGATGAGTAAATACCAAATCACTGCAGTAGAATCCCTCTTGAGGCAAAAATTAAGATCATACTATAAACGCTCCGTTTTACATGAACAAAAGTGGTGGTTGGAAGACATTACTGACGCCTTTTCTTTATAGAGTGGATTGAAATGCCAGTCATGCCTGATATTTCAGCCCATTGACTTGCGGACGAAGGACTAGAGCGCAGCAGCTGTTGTAACACGACCAGTCACTGTGGAGCAGGCTGCTTCCGTGCTGCCCTTTGTGTTACAGACAGAATCTGAATCCTCTTTCCTTGAATGGTGTATGACCTTGGTGCTGCTTGCATGCTCTTGACTTGTAGGACTTTGATCTTTTAAGGTGTTTTTTTCCAGCATTCATATTGACTTACAAAATTTGAAAGCCTTTAATGAACCCGGACAAAGATTTAAACTTGAAAATTCATTGTTCTATTAAAGCCACAACACTCTGTATGTTATCTGTGTGTGTGCATGCACTCAAGTGCCTTCTGTTTCATGAGCAAATACATTTTATTGTACATGTCTTTGGTTATCTCTAAACATTGTATAAAGTATTCCAGGTTAGAATTATACCATAGAACTGTTTATGAAAGGCTTGTTTCTGTTGCACATTTCTTGAAGCATTTTTAAAATAACATGTAACATATAACCTGTTTACGTCTTCTGTTCTGTTAACGCTCTGTCCTGCGGCCCCATGCCTGCTCCTTCCCCAGAGCTCCTCTCTGCTGCACGCACAGCGTCTGTTGGAGGCGTTGGACTGTTGCTTCCTGCAAGGCTGGCGCTCTCAGCCACCAGCTGCTGCTCCAGCTCCGAGCAGGGTCTCACTGAGCTTGCCTCGAGGCATTAGACTCGTAGTGATCACTTCTCTGAAATGTCAAGGGATGATGAACCAGTTTACTGCTTAGAAACAACAAGGGGCACTGCAGAGTGTGTCTCATTGTAAAGCAGTGTATTTTTGGTTGTGTTGGGAAATTTTTATTTGTAATACTTAATTCTTAGACTGACAAAAGCAGAAAATACCGATACCTAATTGGCAATCATAGGTGAATAATGGTACTAAATGAGAAAAATCCATTATGGTCGATTTTATTTCTTGCTTTGCCACCTAAGCAGTAAAACATGATAATGATTGACCATTTGGAGAATTGAGAAAATTACTTCAATTTTCTGTTATAGTAAATTTGCACACAGATAACATGCATGCTCTATATCAAGTCTCACATCATACTATTTTAAAATAAGCAGTGCCCTTCAAAACAGATGCAGACATGTGTGTTGGTGGTAGTGAGGAGATTGGTAATAGCATCAAATCTTCATTGGTGACTAATTTTTAATTCCCTTCCTTTTATCTTCAGGTATGGCTTTCCCAACGAAAGGCTAAGAATTCAAGAACGGTCTTAACTGAACCCTCATCAGATCTGAATTTAACAAATGCTTAGTCTCAGCAGCCGGGGGGAGGGAAGCTTAGCCTAGCAGTCAGTGACTTACTTGCACTTTTGCACACTGATAGAAAGTAAACGTATGTTATTAATTTGGTTTAGTCTATAATCTTACAAAATAGCGGTAATTTATAAAGGAGTGTATAGTAGTATACTGACTGCTAAGTGTACTATACTGTTTGCTTTACTAATCACCTAATTCATTGCAGTTCATACTTATTGACTCAAAGTTTAAAACCACAATCTGTAGGCTTTAAGAATTGCTTATAAACCTTTTTAAGTAATAAACTCTGGAAGCGGTCTTAAGGTTAGCAAGTAATTGTCAGTATTAAACATGGCATTATTTTTCATCCTGCTGCAAGAAAGGCACTTCAGTGAATATGTGACTAGTAAAGCTTCAAGGTTGGAACTAGTGGAGTTCATGAAGTACTGTGACTTGGGATTGTAAATGAATGGATGACATAGGTTAAGGCCAAGATGTTTTGAAGTGAATGCAATATTAATAGACGCATATATACGCAACATATTATGGTTAATTTTAAAACTACTGTGCCTTAACGTGTTTCTTAAAACGAAATTTTTGTAGTAAATGAACATTTGAAATCCATTTTGATAAACCTGCTGTTAATGTTTGTTTTCTTTTCCCTTGTGAATGTTTTCTAACTTTGTCTTGGTGATTGCAATTTAACTAGGTGCGGTGGCTACTAAAGTTCGAAGGCACGATATGCGTGTCCATCCTTACCAAAGGATTGTGACCGCAGACCGAGGTTAGTTTAGTTCTGCAGTTCTTGTCTATGAGAAATGCGTGGGGTGTCCATACCATTTGCAACACCACACCTGATGGGGAAATGTGTACCTGCTTACTGCACAGCGTTTCCTTTCCTGTTCTAAATTAATTTATGATCATTGACAGATTGAAGGGTTGGGTTTTTTGTTTTTTTCTCCCTTGATGTTTTAACTTATTGAATTCTATTAGTATGTATTATGATTTATTCTTGCTACAACATAAATTAGTCCATTTGGGGAGCTATTAAATTTTGTTTTCACCCTAATTATTTTCAGTAAACATTTTTGCTAAAAGTTACCTTTTAATTGTTTTGAAATTTTGGGTTGGTTTTGCAAAATGAACGGAGCGGATGGTGCTTTAATGAGAGAAGTAAAGGAATATATGCCTCCAGTGTTCTTTTGGAGAAAACTGAAGATTTAGTTTCCCATTTTCCTTTTTAATAAGATATTTGAGCCACTGTATAAACATGAGGTTAAACATGTCAAGTACTTAGCTGAACTCAGCAAAGTAAGGACTGTGAAGCTAACTTTGATGCAGTTGGATCTTTTATAAGTCAGAAAGTCAGTTCCCTTTTATTCTTACGTTTTATTCCAAAATGGATCCTTTGATTTTTGTCATTTGCTGCTAAAATATATTATCTAAACGTAAACTATCTCTTGAAGTTCTGTGGTGGCATGAACCCAGCTGTTTGAATACTTTCTTTGACTAACCTGTGACTGGAAAATAAGTCTTCATTTTTCTCCTTTTCAACATTTGTAATTTGTGTCCTGTATATGCCCTTGGACCCTTTTATAAATTATTTATTTTTATTGAGGAGTGATATTTTCGGTTTATTGACATTGAATTATTTTTCTGAGCTTGAAATCACAAAGCAAGAAATCTGAAGCAAGGTAGAAGAGGACTTTTACAAGTTTTATTTATAAAATGGCACATTTATTACCTATTGATGAAGTTGCTCTGTCGGCTACTGGTGGGGAAAAGTAATGGGTTACACTCCAATTCTACATCTTAGATGAACTTGTGAGAGGCCTGCCTGCTTTGCATGGTTATCTTGTATACGGATGATAAGTATCAGACACAGCTGTTGTCCTCATCAGAATAAAATACCTTTCCAAAGATATCGACCATCTGTGTTTAGCATCATATATGATTAAAGAGCCTTGAAGACTTTTAACTAATACGTCACTTGTAGTGATTGTTTAATGAACAAAGTAAATAGGCCCCCAAGCTCAGTGATCCTCTGTGAAGACCACACTCCTGTGAGTGTGGCATGTACAAGTGTGTCCTGCTGGCATCAGAGCATGTCCCTTAGTGAAGGAGGACATTTTCAAAAGCAAAAATACCATTTAGATTTAAAGAATCCACATAATACCATGAGTAATTTGAAGCTTTTTCCCATAGTTATTGGCTGAAATAGTTATGAGTATTTTAAAGTAGTTTGTCTTTTGTTAACCTTTTATTCCCCTTTGAGATTTTCATAATTTTGTTTTGACATAATAATTATTGGCCTACTCAATACTCCAGTACCTTAAGATAGTTGAAGATATTAGGAAGATTTTATTGTATTTCAAAACAAGAACACATTCCATGCATGGCTCTTTTGTAGTTATAAGTGTTTTGATTAGTCTTGTCACTGTTTTTATTCAAAATGCAATGTCAGCAAACCGAAATGCTACCTTTTCTCTCTCTTTCTAAATAACAGAATACTCTGTATACTCTTGTACTGTCACTGTGTGCACTTGGGTCTGAGGGAGATGCCTGGAGTCCTTCATTTAAATTATTTTATGATACTACTGTGTTCTCTAGTTTTGAGGTTTTTTTATTCTTTTAATCTTTTGAAGGAAAGATTAATATGTGTTCACTTAATACAAGGAAATTCAGCCCTTGGGCCTGTAACCATGTAATTCTATATGAGCATTTAGAGTATGGCATGGTTGACAAGTACCTAGTTCTTTACTAAAAATAAGCCCACCCCTACACATTTCAGAACTGAATTGGAAGCCTATAAAAGACCAACTGATGTTGTAGTTGAAATGAACCATAAGTGCTTTTGCACAGTTGACACACCTGTGTGCTGTCGAGGCCGGGACTGGGCAGAGGATGTACTGGAGGCGTACTGGTTACAGAAATGGTGCTGTGCGTTGTCTATGGATTCCACATTCAAAACACACGAGGGTTTTTCTGAATAATAATTTTACAAAACCCATTATTTACACAATTTCTATAAGAAACAATACAATTTTAAACAAAAATTTAGTTACTATAAAAATGCTTTAAGATTCTGTATTTCTGGAATACCTATGAAATCATAGGACTACATGTGAAATGTTTATTTTTTTCTTTGATTATGGACTAGCCACTTTTATTTTAAATAAAATTCTATTTTTAAGCAGTTCAAGGAAGATTTGGTCACACTGAAGACACAGTATTTTTGTAGTATTTATAAACTATCCTACGATGATAGACCATAGAAAGCACTTTTGTTACATGAGGGTAAACCAGTCGGTTACGTAGATCATTTAACTCTGTGAAGCCGAGACTTTACTGGGTTTTGATTTACAAAGTGGCACAGACTCTACCTTTGCACTTAAGTATTTTGTATCTCCTCTGCCATAGTCACAGTGGCAACAGCACAGAAATTCCTATCAAACCTCAGAATATAGTAGAAATAACTAAGCTGTGGAATGAGTCTTAAAAATCATACTACTGTTAAGTGGACCAAGTTTGGTGAGGCGGAGTGTGACAGAGGTTGACTAAGGAAGGAACAACTCAAGGACATTGGGGACGATAACTTTTCCACTTGAGAACTACTTTATGTTTTACTGTAATTTTTAAAAAAATTTTTGTTCTGTTTGTTATTTTGCAAAAGAAAATAGTATTTACAGGTGGCTTCTTTTAAAATATATAAAGCAGG